AACCTGAAGAAAGGAGCGCCAAATGGAATCCCAATGTCCATTGCAAGTACCATCAGAGAAGGGGGCACACTACGGAGCAATGTTGGAATTTGAAGGACGTCATTCAAGACTTGGTGGATGCAAACAAACTTTTTGTCCCTTCAGGCGGCAAGAAGTAATGAAGACAAGGCGCACAGTAGATCTTTCGTGCAAGATTTCATGATTTCTTTTTTTCTTTATCATTCATCTCCATTCCCCCATTCATGTCTAGCATAGGTTTTCCATTTCGTATTTTTATATGTTTCATGTGTTTTGTTCACCTTTTCCATTAATAAAATGAGCAAATTTCCTTTACATCTCATTAATGGAAAAATTGCTATTAGCAACACCTTATTAGCAACTGGCGTTATATACGTAGTTACAAAAGAAGTAATTGAAACTGGCATATGTTATGCCCGTTGCAAATATATTAGCATTTGCAGCTGACGTGATAATGAAGGCTGCTAATAATAATGAATTAAAAACTACAATATTTACTGGCAGCTGGCTAGTTAAATGCCCGCAACAAATACCAGGTCAAATAAAAATTGACTAAAGTACTTACAACTGACCCTACAGCGCCAGCTACTAAAACATAAGGAGTACTCGTTTTTTTTTTCCTAAAATAAATTACTACCTCCGTTAAATATTATCTGCAACTTTTGCCATTTCGGGATGATCAGGGTTATCTGCAACTTTCCATTTTTGTTCCAATTTTAGTAAAAAAAAAAGCATGAAATTACCATTTTACCCTTACTTATGGTTTTTTTTAATTACTACCATTATTATCTCCTAAACTAATCTTATTTTACAAACCTAAAACTAATCAGATCTACTCTAACCTAATGATTCCCTCCCTATATTTTCCCATCTCCCTCCTTCTCTCCTCATTTACTAACTTCCCCAACCACCAAAAATTAATTTCTGATGGTTGGGTTTCCCTTTATGTTCATGAATCTTCTTCAGAAGATGAACCCTAGTTCATCGTTTCCCACCTTCTCTCTCCTCTTTTACCTCGATTCTTCCTCTCCTTCTCTCCAAATCTACTCTTCACCACACCATTTTCTGAGAAAAAAGAGTCCCCTACGAAAATGCCTAACCTTGATCCTTTGAAAGATGCGTACATAGCAACAAATGATAAGGGTGAGGAGAATCTGATCAACCACTTCCTCCATTGCTTTAAAACTGGCAACCCTTTTCCTCGTGATTTCTACGAGTCCGCTGAAACTGGTGGCTACTGTTCTCTGTACACATACAGAGCTTTGGGTCAAGTCCCAAAGAGTATTGATGAGGAGGAACAGTTGAAGAGGGAGAAGGGGAAGTTGAAGAGGGAGGAAGATCCTCTTCCTATGGTGGTTGAATCTGGGTCTGCTGCTCCTGCTCCTGCAGATCTGGGTTCTGTTTGTCATCTTCCTGCAGATCTCGTGGCTGAATCTTCTTTGGGGGTTGTTGTGGCTCCGAAAAAGGCCAGAACTAAGAGGCCTAGGTCACCCCCAAGGTCAGATCTACCAGGAAGGCGGCGCGTGTTGCTCTTTGGAGGATGCGTGGGCTTCCAGACCATGAGTACATCATCCTTTCTTCTGATGAGGATGAGGATATGGAGGAGGCTTCTTCAGTCCCTGTGGTCAATTGCTATGTGAGGCGGATGAACCGTTCGGTTCAACCTTCTGAGTGACTGCTTTCGTAACGATTCCTAACCCTAATCTCTTTCATTTATATTCTTGAGTCCCTCATATATCTTGGTTGGTTTGCTTTGATTTTTTGCATGTGTTCTGGGCTACCTTGTTTGTTTTTTACTGGATTATGTTATTAGTGGGTGAATTATATGAGTTCTGTTGCCCATATGCTGGTGGCTTAATTATAGACCATGTGTGGCTTAACTATAGACCATGTGTGGCTGGAATGTTGTTCATATTATGTTTTAGTAATACTGATGGTGATATTTTGAGTAATACTCATGAATGATATGGTGTACTCTGTATTTTTTGTTGTGATAATGTTGTCGTATGCTGGTTGTCTGATTGAAAGAGTGTTGCCTTGATCTCTCTGTTTGTGTACTGGATTATGTTGTTGGTGGGTGAATTATATGAGTCTTGTTGCCCATATGCTAGTGGATTGTTTTTTTTTGGTGGATCTGTTGGATGAGCATGCCTGTGGCTTAATTATAGACCATGTGTGGCTAGAATGTTGTTCATATTATGTTTTAGTAATAATGATGGTGATATTTTGAGTAATACTCATGAATGATAAGTTGTACTCTGTATTTTTGGCTGTGATAATGTTGCGTTATGCTGGTTGTCTGATTGAAAGAGTGTTGCCTTGATCTCTCTGTTTGTGTACTAAGAAAGATGGAACAAGGGATTGTGATTGATGAATGATGAATGATGAGTTCAGTTTGGTTTGTTTGTTTTGTTGTGTGGTATATACAATGTTCTCAATGATCATGTTTTGTAGAGAACAATGTCTATGGGTTAGTGTTCTTGTTATAGCAGTGCTGCAATGAGTCCCCCCTTCTGATATTTGCCCCATGAATGTGTGGAGTCCCCCTTGTCTGTATGAAATTCCACCCTTAGTGACTTGTATGGTTCAAATGATGAAGGGACTCCATTGAATTTCACTTAACACATTTGAGTTGCTCCAACAATCTCTTGTTTGAGATTGTTGTTGAGGTAACAATGTTGTGAAGTGTAGTATTCAACACCATTGATAACCTTTCTGATGGACATGTATTGCCATAACACTTCAAAAACTTGTCTTTGTCATTTCATTCATATAGTGATTACAAAAGTTGATGCACATAAACAAAAGACTTCACATTTGACTGCCTAACATGTTAGTTTGATCTAAATCACCAAAATACACCTAACCACCTATTCATTAACCATTAGAAAAAAAAAGGTTAAATGGTTATGTGTGGCAGTCAATGTTGTCAGTGTGCAAAACCTGGTTTGTGGCTTGAGTCCCCTAATCTGCATCCACTTCCATATCTTCTGCTGCATCTTGAGTCCCTTGAGTGGCTGGCCTAAACAATGTGTTTAGGTACTCTACAGTTTCCAGCACTATATCCCTTTGCAACTCCACCTTGTCTGGCAAAATGCCCAAATTCTCAAGATTTTTTTTTGTTCATATGAGGAATTTTGTACTTGTTACCCCCCTCTGCTTGCAGTATCATGATCATGCATTTTTGCAAAGTGATCCAAATGTACTTGTTCACCTCTGGTTTGAATGTGTCATAAGACTCAATGACCTTGTCCACTAGCTCATCCAAGTTTCTAGGAAATGATTGGTACTGCAGTGACTGAATAGACCTGAACAACCCTAAGTCTAGCACATTCAAGTCTGGTGACTGAGGTGGCTGAAACACCAGTTGAATGTTGAACCCATTTGTTGTAGTAGCTTCAATGAATTCTTGATCTCTGGGTATCTTGTGTGGTCTTGCATTGTCCCATTGTATTGTGACATTTTTGCTTAGACTTTGTGGCTATTTTGAGATCACTGATGGTATTACTTTTGTGAGAAACATTTCCCTAATGACCTCCCTGTTCACATTTTGTATTGCCTTGGTCTCCCATGTTCCTGCAGGCCTGTTTTTGCTTGATTTTTTTGCTTGCTCTTTGACTGTGAAAGGAAACATGCCATATTTCCCATCATGTAGTAGCTCCCCATTTCTCCCATACAATGGCTTTCCCACTACTACCATAAACATTGCCTTCAGTTTGAATCTTCTTGACTGTTGAACTCTGTGTGGGTCTTCCTCACTTGGAAGGAGATAGAATCTCCTTTTATCTGGATTAAGATAAAACCATTTCTCATCTATGTGGATGCATGGTCCATATCATCAAATATAGGGTCTTCATTCCCAATGATAGGATTAATGTAAGACATAATCTATTTCAGTCTTGCAACTTTGTGGTCACTTGTGAGAGCTGGCTTGTTGCTGCTTGTATGTGTTCTGAGCCTTCCTTTTTTTTTTAAGTTGTGAAGAGTAACATGAGATATCTTCAATGCTGCTGCATAACTCCTCTCTGTCTGCCTAAGGTGCAGAGGCACTGACTGTAGGAATTCATCAGTAAATTCCCTTGGTTTAGGCCCTGTTCTGCCATACTTCTTGGACCTGACATCAATCACATCACCTTGTTCCAACTGTTTTTGAATGTCCTTGAAAACCCTTGTGATTGTTGATTTGTGTACATTGAATTTGTGTGATAATTCTTGCATATACCCTCTTGGTAAATTCCCATTATGCATTTTGAGTAAAATTGCATCTACAATTTCCCTCTTCTTGTGAAAATCAAGTTGTTTTCTGCTTGTTGCTGCTTGAATGTTGCCTTGATCTTCTGTTTGTTGCTGTGCTTGTTGATCATTGTCTTGCTGCCCCTGTTCATCCATTACTTCATCATCAGAATCATCATACAAGCCATAATCTTGCATGTGTTCTTCAAAGTCATAGTAAAGCTCTTCTAGTTCTTCTTCAGTTAACAGTTGATCAACCTCCAAAAACAGCCCTTCTTCTAACTCTGCCATGACATTTACTACACATGTATCTTTCCAGCTCAAGGTTGATGAAACAGGAGTCCCTGCTGGTTTTTTTTTGTGAAGAAGGGGCGTTCTTGTTAGGCTGAAAGGATGATGGAGGTGCCAAGCCAATGAAGCGTCTGATTTGTGAAGATCATGTGCAACACTGACTTTAGTTAGGATAATTTTTTGGATATTTAGGGACTTAATGACTGTGATTAGTGCTAACTTTTGGAAAACTAATGGTGTAATCTTAAAAATTTCATGGCTTGTCTTTTGGGAGAAACATTGAATGCTTGTGTAATGAATGAGGCTCCTTTTATAAGCCTCTTAAATGCTCATTTTGTAATGCAGAAATCTGTTTTTTTTTTTAAATTTGGTGGGAGTTTTGAATCTCCAAAAATTTCAAATTGTTTGAAATTTTAGAGAAAATTTAAGAGGGAAATCTATTTCCCTCAAAAAAAACTGACAGATTTCTCCACTCAAATGCAAGTGGGGGGTCAGCCTTTCTCTCTCCTCTACTTTAATTAAATCATCTAAACTTTCACTAATTTTCACCTTTCAAATTTTGCATCGTGAATCGTAATCTGCTCCAAAGTTGTAGATAATATTTAAAGGAGGTAGTAGTATCGGGCTTAACATTCAATCAACCCGCCTCCTTCCTTCGCTCTCCTCCATTTTCGCCCATTCAAACCTTTCCTCATCTTCGATCTCCTCCATTTTTGCGCTCTTCTCATCATGTTCGCTCTTCCTACTCTTTTCATCATGTTTGCTCTTCCTCAGCATCAACGATTTTCTAGAGGAGGTTGCCCTAATTTTGTGAAGCAGGTTTCCCTAATTTTGTTCGCTCGTCCTCCATTGAAGCTGCTTCTTAGGTAATTCCGTTCTCAACTCTAACTTCCGATTGTTCGTTGTGGATTAAATCTCCTTTATTGAAGAATTTCTCGAAATTGTTGTTTTTTGAAGAGAAATATCGATGTTTATGAGTTGTCTAACCTTATTTGCTCATTTCATTGTTTTTACTGATCGGATGATATTTTTTTGGAGATTTAGTATATTGTTGAGATTTCTAGTATTTGGGACTGATTTTCGTCTTGTTTGAAGCAATACTATTGAAATTTAAAGCTTGAATTCCTCTAATTTTGAATTCTATAAGGTTGTGTTTGGATACTCGCATTTCATTTGAAATCATTGATTTCAATTCCAGAATTTCTATTTCTAGAATTTATTTCCAAGTTTCTTGTTTGGCAAATTAAGAGTTTCAAATTTGGAATTTCAAATTCCAAAAACTTGTTTGGGGAAACAAAGAAATTCAGATCCTTTTTCTAATCTTTGTTTTTTTTTTCTTTTTTTTTTTCACCATTAATTTCCAGAATTCTGTTTTGCTTTTTTATTTTCCCCATAATATAAATTTTAGCAGGAGATAAAGCCGAGCGAAGAACGAAATTAAACAATAAAAAATTAGGGGAAAATCAAAACCCTAATTTCATCAAATTGACAAAATTAAGCAACCAAAAATTAGGGGAAAATCGAAACCCGAATTTTATCAAATTGACAAAATTAAACAACCAAAAATTCTGAGAAAATCGAAAGCTTATCACACAGATAAAAGAGGGTAAGAGTAGAGAAATCCAAAAGCCACTACAAAGGAGGATTAAGGTACACTTTAATCAAGGATTAAGGTACACTTTAATGGAGGATTCAAGGTACGCTTCAATGGCGAAGAAAGCTCAAACGCCGCTACAATGGAGGATTAAGGTACGCATCAATGGTAGAGAAAGCTCACACATCGCTTCAATTGAGAATTAACCGAACACGTTGACGAAGGAAAGGAAGCTCACTAGTTACTTTAATGGAGAAGAACATGTTGCTTATAGTAGAGAAGTCACGATCTTCATCAATGGAGGAAAGAGAAAATAGAATACCCAGCCCTTAGGAGAGAGAATTTGGGAAATTAGGCATAGGAGAAAGAGTAGGGCTTTTTTTTTTTTTTTTTTTTTTTTTTTTTTTTTTTACTGAATGTTGGAATTTGGAATGACAGCTTTATAGTTGGAATTTCAATTCAATCAAAATTAACTTAAGTTTTAATAAACTTGGATTTGGGCCAAATCCAATTTCCAAATTTAGAGTTAATCCAAACAATGTAATTGGGCCAAATCCAGAATTTCAAATGAAATTATGGTTCGCAAACAGGCCATGAGGTAATTTTATTTTTTTTGTCAATATTCTAAAAACTCTCAAATTGTAGTGTCCGATCCTCATGACTTGGATTTGTGGATAAAGGTTAGTCTATGAGACCTTATTATAGTTATTTACATTTCATTTCTTCACTTAACCGTCATTGTTTATGATTGTTTGAACTAGATTTGATCTTAGTTTTTGTGACAAAAGGTTGACAGAGAATACAAGCAAAAGGGATCATCACATGATACGATATTTAAGATCTCTTTCTGGCCTCATCAGCCACATGAGTTCTTTGATGACACATCTAGAAGGATGCGATCCAAACAATATGTATTGCTTATACTTTGCTGCATATTTGTCGATATACTTTTTTCTTAATGACTAGTCTATAAGCAAATGTTGTTGTGCTTGTGTTGTGCATCTTTCTCATGAATTCGATGTTTGATTGTCATGACTATCACTTAGAAGGTTCAAACTTCCGGCTTTATATCGTTTTTACTACCTATTTATTGTCCTACTGGTTTTTACATTTTATTAATCTCGTAGTAAAATACGAAAGAATTTGTAGAGAACCTGCAAGATTATCCTAGGGGAGTACTCGACATGTTGGCTATGTGTTTTGTGACACAACTTGTGTTGCTAGGACTTGCTCAAGGTTTAAATGTTGTAAGGAAGATATAGTTTTATTGTCTTATCTTTCTAAGGTTAAAGGGATAAATACTTCGTAGTGTGTTTATATAAACTATAATTGATCCATCTTACTGACGTATATACCACCTCTTAAAGTTTGTAAGGAATATAAATTTTCATGTTCAAGATTGAAATTAAAAGCATAGTGAAGTTTTCATTCAGTGAGGATTATATTTTTTAACCCAAGCTGATTTTTTTTAGATATTACTACTACGGATTTATGATTGGTTAGTATAATCTAATAATTTATTGACTTCTTATTCCCAGCTTCTTTATATATGCTAAATACCTTCCTAACCACCTGTTTTTTTCTCCATTCTTCTCATTGTTTTCAGTTCACTAGTCGTACAAGCTTTGCTATGAATATGGGTGTTCGTACTCCGCACTTAAGACCAACTTCCAATTTCGGCTCAAAATGTGGTACGATGAGATTAGGATTGATTTTCTTTGTTGTGGTTTTTGTTCACAAGACATTGTCCAGTTTGATATGTAAATTATGTCCATGATAGATTGATTGATTAATAGATAGATTATCATAGTTTGTGTACTTGTGTGCATACACTAATTTGATATTTAAGCTATGATGTTCTATCATTGGCGAGAATACTTTCGCTGTCGTGTAGGTGGTATGTTCTGTTACATAGGGTAGTGCTGATTCCGCTGAATGTGAGTTGACCTCCCTGGGCTATTTGCTAGGCAGGAGTCGAATTGGGATGTTATTGCTTAATGTGTGCTTATTATACGTCCATAGAGGCTATTTTGATCCAGATTATATGTTGTTTTTCAGAGATAATTTTGGGTGGAATTGTACAGCCAGTTGAGGTCTGTTTCAGAGTTTAGGCTTGGCAACGTTTTTCATGCTGAAAATATCATTTCCAGGTGGGTCTTTTCTTTGAAATATTAATTCTTTTGAGTGACTGTGCTCCATATCATTGATATACTGTTAACTTTGATATCATACTTTTTTTGCATTATATATTGTTGATACTTCATATGCTCTTTTTAACAAGTGAAAGTATATTTCTAAGTATACTTAAGGTAAGGGGTATTGACTTTGTTATCTTTATTCTCATGAAGTTTCTGTATTATTTAATCTTTAAAATAAAAAATTTAATTGTTTGCTTTATAAATTGCAGGTAGTTATAGGTGGTGGTGCTCTTTCTCCTTTCGTCGAGTGGGCGAATGTGCATATTTTTTGGTGGAGTATCTAGGTTATTTAGAAGCCTATTAGCAGCCTTGTAATTTAGTTTTTAATTTTTAATTAATGTATATTTCATAACTAACAAAAAATTTGTTAAAATAATATTAAAATAGTTTGTATATCATACTGGAGGAGTTGCAATTTTTTTTTCATTTAAAGAAATGACTATTTGCATTTGGCGTAGTCCTTAGCCATCTGCTAATAGTTTTTTAAAAAAAAATTCTAAAAGAAAGACTATTAGCAGCTAGCCTAGTACTACGCCAGCTGCAAATAACCAATATTAGCAGCTGGCCTAGCTCTATGCCAGTTGCGAATAATGACTATTAGCAATGAACAAGTGTCAGTTGCAAATAATATTCTCATTAGTAGCCCCCGCAATAGTAGCCCCCGCAATAGTAGCCCTACGCGCCAGTTGCTAAAAGCCACTTTTCGCCAGTTGCTAATAGTGTTTTTTCCACTAGTGTCTCGATCATAGCATTTTTCATTCACTCATCCTAAAAAAAAAAAATCAATTACCGAACTAAACACAAGGTACACCAATGTCTTGAGACACCTTTGCAACCCTGTCATCCCTGTTAACCGTTCAATCACATTCCATTTCTTCATCAACCAATTTGAGCCTCGTCTAATGTTTGGCCTTCATTTCTTCAACCACATTCGCTTAACCCTGGGATTGGAAGATGTGTAATTGTATAACATTCAAAAAGCAAGTAAAAAAAAAGCGGCAAAGCAAAAAAAAAATGTCTAAAGGCAAGTGTTCCAATGTCTTCGATATGAACACGTCTCAAATTGCGTCTCTCATCAAGTGTTTGGTATCGTGCCTGAGAAACATGAATTCTAAGTGAGTGATGGACCGCATGATCTGAGATTGCCTACATTGATTTCAAAAGAAAAAAGAAGGAAACGAAATTCAAATAAAAAAATATATATGAAAAATAAAACTCGCAAATTCCAATACATAATTGTACATCTTGGTGGGGCTTTGCTCGGGTCTTGATCCTTTTACCCCTTAAACCATCAGCTTATCCATTACAACCCTTGAAAGACCTCTTTGAGGTGTACACATACTTGTGCAAAGTTCGACTAGAGCTACGTTGGCCTGATTCCTAACGGATACGTAGGCAACCTCACATCAAGGTGCGGCCACATTCATATTCACATTTATATTCATATCCATGCTTGATTGAGTCAAAGGATATCCAATGCTTACCCCTATCCATCTAGAGCTAGAGTTGGGGGCTTGAACCCATATCATTTAGCCTACCCAGCCTAAAGAGTCATCATCTTTAGCTCTTCTCACATATATTTCCATCACCATAACCTTTGCAGCCAGCCTTAGTATCACATTCACACACTTCACTCACACATCCATATTCATATCATCCTCCCTTTGAGAACCCTTTATCATGGAGTCTTGTTTCAACACTGTGCATGTTTCATCGTCTTTCAGGACAACACTCATTAGAAGAAACATTGTATACTTGCTTAGCTGGGCAGTGTTCATTGTTTCACGCATTTCATAATATGTTGAGCAACATTTATATATCAATGATTTTTAATCATACAAAGCATATCGTGCTTAGCTCCTTGACCTAAGAAACATTCATTATGCAATACTCAATAACCACTTCATCTATATACGTGCTTAGCTTCCAGACCTAAGTGACGTTCAAGATCGTTTCTTTACACCATATATGATGTTTAGCTCCATGACCTAAGTTCATTCATGTATCGTGTCACATGATGTAATTGTCCATAGCCTCCTAGCCTAAGAACATGCATCATGCATACAATCCATGCGATTCATTTCATCTTCCTCAAGGAGGAAGTTCAAAACTTCTTCCCTTTTTTATCTTTTTCTTTTTGGGAAGTTCAAAAACTTTTTCAAAATATTTTCTCATCAAGGGAAGTTCGAAAATAAAAGTTAAATTTTCACGTCTTTCTTTTTCGGGAGAAAGTCGGTACCCTCCACTCGTCTCATGACAAAAATGACGGAATTTGTTTTGCTTTTTGCATTGTTGATTGCTTGTGTCTGCTCATACATTCAAATCATACTTATACACACACAATCACAAGTCATACACATGTCATGTCGTGTCAAGTCAAAGCTTAGTTAAGTTAGTTGATCAAGTCAATCATAGTCCATACGAGTCCCTTGGGAAATTTTATTTTGCAGGTCTCAATTACAGCCCACGTCTGGCAGCCCACGTCCGAGGACAAGAGGACCATCTACAACCCACATCCGGGGACAAGCGGACCATCTACAGCCCACGTTCGGGGACAAGCGAACCATTTACAGCCCACGTTCGGGGACAAGAGAACCAACTACAGCCCACGTTCGGGGACAATCGAACCACCATCATTTCATGGCGCAAGGTTCTTGATACACAGAGACTTGCAATATCATCATATGTCGACTTTCCTCAAGGATGGAAAGTATTATCCGGTGGATTTCTTCAAGCATAGAAATTTGCCAAAATCATCTGTTGACTTTCCTCAAGCATGGAAAGTGTCATCCGATGGATTTCTTCAAGCATAGAAACCTACCAAAATCATCTGTCAACTTTCCTCAAGCATGGAAAGTATTATTTGGTGGATTTCTTCGAGCATAGAAAATTGCATAATGTCGACTTTCCTCAAGCATGGAAAGCATCATCCCGTAGATTTCTTCAAGCATAGAAAACTACTAAACTCGTTAGTCGGCTTTCCTCAAGCATGGAAATCATTTCAACAAACGTCATCCGGTGGATTCCTTCAAGCATTGGAAGCTACCAAACTCATTTGTCACCGATACATTGGTGTCAGATAAGCATTCTATCCCTTTACTCTTTTATTTGTAGAACTAATACTTTTCTGCAGGTATCGGTGTATATATAGTGATTTAGGATCGTAAAATATCTTAAATCATTCTCCGTCTCTATCGACTACTTTGACTATCGTTTTCGAAACTAACGTTTCTACAAACTCAGTCAAAGTGGGGGCTTCTGTAGACACCTAAAAATGTCTCCCCAAAACCAAACCCGATGATGAACAACCTTTCACCACCATTATTGGTCGGTTTAAGTATTTAATCTTTGGAGTGCTTAAATCCATGTTCTATCCAATACATTTCATAAACCAATCCAATTCCTAGCTCATTTCCCTAAACCATAACTTACTTTCCTCTTTTCGTGTCCACATCGCAAAACCGAGAGAAACTGATTTTGTTGCCTTATAATTTTGATCCAATTATTATTTGGTTGGATAGGCCTTGAAATACGCTTTCCAACCAATTATCATAAGCCCAATTCCGATTTAAAAGAAAACGATATGAGCAAAACACTAAACTCGACCCATAACTGACACCCTTCTACTAAAACAACCATATCTTAAACTCTAAAAATTATTTTGACCTTATTCTAATTGGGTTGGAAAGTAGACGTGATAAGATTTCCTATTATATATTATATGCCTTATTTCGAGTTACGGATCAAAAGTTATCGCAGTTACAAAAACGCATAAAAAATTGGGACTACTGCGCACAGTATAAAACTGCCGCATCGCGAGGGAAGCTTACTTGGCGCGGCAGCTGGTACTGTGTTACAACAATTTGTACTGTGTCGCGGTATAAATACCGTGACACGGTGCTTTTTGTAAGGAGGGGGTTCCTAACGTAAGGGGTCCTCTCCTTAAATGCCTATGGTCCTTTAAAAGTCTAGGACTTTACACTTGTTAGGGTGTAGTAGGATTTGAATTCCTGACTGTTTGGGGGACCTTGAATTAGAATTGATTCTATCATTAAACTTTTTTATAAAAAACAAGTAGGGAGACGCCAATGAGTTTTAGGAAAACTCATAAATCTTGTTCATGCCTTTCTTACATGTGGAGTTCATGGAATAATTAGCACAAATCATAAGTTTACCCATGCCCAAATTGGTCTATAAACCAGAAATGAGTTCGGGAGCAAGGGTACTAAAAAAACGTTCTTTTAGAGGGGAATCATTATCCTAGCCCTAGTGCGGCCTCTACTAGTTCTTCCTTTTTTATAATTTCATCACCAAACAATATATGCAACACGATACCTAAAACTATGTTAGTCGATTTTATTTACACTTACCAATTCACGTAGGAATTACATCGTAATGTCGTTATTCTTTATTTAACCAAATTTGTGAAAGGACAAGAAAATAAACAATATTCGCTTTGGCTTAAGTGATCAACCAACAATTATTTAATTCAATTCTAATCATTATTTGACGCAAGATAATATGTGGAATTTATTAATTAATTATTTTAAAGGTGATCAAACAACAATAATTAATTAATTAAGGTTCTTTTAAACAAGAAAATAAATGTGATTTAACTAAGTGCTCGGAAATTTACCATTTCTCTTTTCTAGATCTCCGTTTAGAATACTTATGGACTCCTTCTTGTTGCGGAACCTCCAACGTAGTAACAAAATATCAAAAGGGGTGAATGTTTAGGACAAGAGGGGCTAGGTTGCACAAGTTCACAAGTATTTCGCCAGAGTTTTAGATTATTTTTCTATGTGTTTAAGACTCGGTTTAAGCTCTTATTTATAAGGAATGATTAGGTTTAGGGTTACGAGCATTCTGTCGCAGCAGGTGTCCCGCGCAACAAAATGAGTTGCGCATGGCAACCCAGTGCAAGTGATAATGTTGCACTGCTACGGGCAGCACAACTACTTGTCTTGCGCGCGGCTTTATGGTAAGATTCGATTTTATATTTTCGTATAATTCTGAATCTTCCGCAGCGCAACTCTGGAGGTTACGCCGTCTGTCACGCTCAACTGAATTAGTTGCGCGCGGCAGCCCAGCGCGACTGTTTGAGATGCGCACGGCTTTTTCTGCGGCAGCATTAAAATTTAACCTAGGTGCTCCTAAATCCGTCATTATTAGGTTTTAAGCACGGGCTTAAGCCTAATTATGATCGGGTTTAGTTAATTGGACCTTTGTTTTGGATTTTATCTTTAATTCAGGCTAGTCTTTTATGTTTTGTGGCTTAAACAATTCTCCATAAGTATTCTTCACTTTGATTTAACACGAAGATGGTTTTATTTATCGTCATTGCACTTCTTGTCGGGACAGAAGGCCAAAAGTAGATTCTACAGTTAGGCCCCACTTTGATCGAGTCTAGAATAGACGATGATCAAAGTAGTCAAGGAAATAAATCTGAGACTCATTCTGCGAAGTTCTCTATGGATAGAGAATCTTTCAGTAATGTCTAAGGATGTCGAAACAATCCTTGGTTCGCTAAGTGTTTGAAACAAGTAGCTATTAAGGCTAGAAATTTTTTTTCCTAGTCTTAACGCGCTAAAGAATCTAGATTGATCCTTTGCAATTGTAGAACGCTTTTACAAGTAAAGGTGTTATGGGTGTTGTCAAGTCATGAGAAGAGATCAGTTTTAAAAGGATAAAAGGGGATGATTTCCTCTCAATCGTGCCATCGTTGGTCTAAAGCCCCTCGATATGTCATTGAAACTTTAGCCTGACTTTAACAAAGTAAAAAAAT